GCGTCGGTGTCCACCGCGCCCCTCAGGCCTCGCGGGCGGGAGGCTGCCGGCCAGGACCTGCGGGGCGGCCCGGATGCGCCTTCCTGGGGTGCAAAAGGGGAGCAGACTTCAAGCGGGAGGGTGCTGCTTCCGCCTGCGACGGGCTCGCTCACGTGGCTGAGGGGTCTCGGGGAAGGGGGGGAAGGTGGAGGGGCACGTGCAGCTTCCCGCCCAGCCCAGGCCACCGCAGCCCCCGGCGGCCAGCCCCGTGGCAGCGAGTCCGAGGCGTGTCCTGGGCGTGTGGCGGCGGCGGCACCAGCTGCGTGGGCATGCCACGGCCGCTGCCTGCCCCAGAAATCGCGGGGTGCGCGCGGGTGGGCCCGCAGCAGCCGCCCCCTCCCAGCAGGAGCTCTCTGCTCAGGACTGGGCACCTCTCGCCTTCAGCGAACGTCGCGCGGGGCGACTGCCCGAGCACAGGGAACGGCTGGGCCTGCCCGGGCCGGCCGGGACCCCACAGTGGCCGGCGGCCTCCCCTCTCCTCTGGCAGTGTGTCCAGATGCTTCCTCACCACGGACGGGTGCCAGGACCTGGCCGCGCTGCTCACCAGCAGCCAGACGCTAACCGACCTGCAGATGGGGAGGAACGACGTGGGAGACGTGGGGGTGGCCACCCTGTGCGAGGCCCTGGCCCACCCCGACTGCCGCCTGGAGCAGCTGGGGTGCGTGGGGTGCGTGGGCCGCAGCGGGGCTGTCTGCGTGGGGGGCGGGGGGCGGGCGGGGGCGGCTCTCCGGGAAGGGGCGGCATTTGGGGACATGTCCTCCCCCCACCACCGCCCCGCCCCGCCGAGGTCCTCAACCCCGCAGCGCTGCGGGCACAGGGGCCCCGGCCAGCCCGACGGCAGGGCCAGGAGAAACCCCAAGCCTTGGCCAGCGCCGGGCTGCGAGAGGCGCCGCAGCCAGGCCCCCTGCCTGCCCCTCCCACGCGTGTCCCCGTCGCAGGCTCGGCCACTGCCAGCTGACCAGCGCCTGCTGCGGGGCCCTGGCCGCCGCCCTCGTCAGCACCAAGACTCTGGAAAAGCTGGACCTGCGGGGCAACCCGCTGGGCCACAGTGGGGTGGCCGAGCTCTGCCAGGCCCTGGGCAGCCCCGAGTGCAGCCTGCGCGTGCTTGGGTGAGCCGGGGCGGCGGGGCCCCTCGCCCGTGACGACTAGGGACGGGGGTCCCCACGTCTGGCCTGTCCTCGTGTCCTGCGATCAGTCCTGGGGACCCCCCACGGCCCCCTCCCCTGCCCAGACAGAACAGACGCCCAAGCGCAGGGGCGGGTCCAACCAAGGTCCGGCAGCACTGACCTCTGTGCGCACTGACCGGTCCAGGACAGCTCTGGCCAGCCGGTGGAGGAAGTCCACGGAGACGGGCAGGCGGGGCGGGACTGGCGCAGGCCGCAGGCGCTACCTGTAAGGACAGAAACAGCTGCTGTCCCGGCCGCTGGACTTAGGGCGCCCACTGGGGCGGGCTCTGCCCAGCTGCCTGGGCTGTGCTTGCTGACCTCGCAGGGCAGTTTGCCGGTGGTGGCAGAATTTACATCCTGGCCAGGGGCG